ATAAATAATCTTTATTTCCTACAGAAAAAGGCTATCGACCCAATCGGTCTTTCTGCCCTTGTTTAGTATATATGTGCCTTAGCCTAGCTTATTCTAAAATTAATTCCTATTCCTAACGTTCGTATAAATTAATCAGCTATACAAAGAAAAAAAAAAAAAGTAAAAACTCCTGGCTTACAAAACAAACAGATATTAGTCCTTAGTTCAGTTGCGTTTGTAGGTGTTCTAGTAAAGTATCTGTTGGGGTGTAGCAGACTATTTTCCTTTTTAATAAACATCTATGGCTTGTTCCATAAGCCATTTAATTGTTTTAAATTATTCATTTAAATGTTTAAGACATTCAGAGGCACACTAAACCGTATTATAACAAAAAAAACCTTAAATCTGTTTTCGGTCTCATATTTATACACTGCCTTTGATAAATTTTAAATTATTTTTGGAAACACCCAGACAATTAAACATTGTATGCCATTTTAATTAATGCAAGTTGTAAGCATATTTACTATTCCAGGGTTTTCAAATAGTTCATTCTATTGGCGGTGGTACCGGTGGCGGTCTAGGTTGTTTGTTATTGGATAAAATTCGAGAGGAGTACCCTGATCGCATAATCAGCACTTTTACCATCATTCCCAGCCCCAAAGTGTCCGATACTGTTGTGGAGCCTTACAATGCTACTATGTCCATTGCTCATTTGGTAGAGAATTCCGATGAAACTTACATAATAGGTAGATACGCACCATTAAAGCCTCAATCTGAGCTTGATGAGATGACATGATACTGCACAGATAACGAAGCTTTGCACGACATCTGCTTTCGCACCTTGAAGCTTTCCACTCCCAGTTTAGCCGATCTGAATCACCTTATTTCGGCTGTTATGGCTGGAGTAACCACGTGCATTCGATTTCCTGGACAGCTGAACGCCGATCTGCGGAAGATCCAGGTCAACATGGTGCCATTTCCAAGACTTCACTTCTTCATACCCGGATTTGCTCCACTATTTTCCAGAGGCAACCAGCCACTCTAACATAGCGTTTTTCCCTTATTCACCTACTTATAGGAAACAGACCGTATAAAGCTTCAACAGTTCCGGAACTGGTCATGCAGCTTTTCGATGCCAAAAACCTGATGTGCGCTTGTGATCCAAGACGGGGAAAGTACTTAACGGTGGCCACAGTGTTTAGGGGCCGAATGTCCACGAGGCAAGTAGAAGAACAAATGGTTAACGTGCAGAACAAGAACAGCAGCTACTTTGTCGAATGGATACCGAATAATGTGAAGACGGCTGTGTGCGATATTCCTCCAAGGGGACTCAAGATGTGCGCCACCTTCATTGGTAAGAACTCGAATGTGGACTTGGCCAAGGTTCTTCTATGGCTTGATTGAAATCGTCTTCAGATACGGTTTCATTAAGTTGAATGCAATTCGTTTATTTTTCGTGAGTTGAAAACTGTGCTTTAATGGGTGCTGAGAATAAGTTGGTGTCAGTTATTCTGCTCATTTTTATACATGTTTTCAAGTTCTGCAGCTCTTAAAATATTTTTCGGATCTGGCTTGATTGCTCTCTTTCTTACGATACAGTTTTCTTCGAAAATAACTTGTTTATTATCGCATTACGGAAGGGATTTTTTTGCCGGTAGAACTAGTTTCTCACTTCACTTCTCACTTCACTTTCAACTTCTCTTTCTGGAGCACCACTATCAGCGTTTATCACGCTGATAGTGCATCGACGGTTTTCTCCTCTTCTTCATTGATCTTCATCATTGATGAACGATGTTTCCTCTCCAACTCCGCGAATTTCAGTTGGACCTTCAGGCTCACTTCACAATGCATCAATCTTATTATTTGAACACGTAACTCCCGCTAGGCCTGGGTAACTCAGTGAATTTTTAGGAGTTGGCGCAAATAGCTTGGTGCGCCAACCGAACGCACCTGCCCAATAGCTCAGTTCCGTTGCTGGGAAAACTGACTTGACTTTGACTTGTTTTTACTTGTTGTAGATTTATTTTAAAGGACATTTATTAATAATATTTCTTAAATGTCTTCAAATTTCATAATTTTCCAATTTTGGCCAAGTTACTTTTTGTTCTAAATGTTCAATTTTCTAGTTTCACTTAAAAATGCTGACAATCGTAAGGGATTTTCCGCTAAAAAATATGAAATAAATTTCGAATCCTTCGTCGCTTTGTAAAAAGTTTTGAAATCCCTTTCCAGCTTCGAATTTGGTACAAACATCAAAAAATGTTCTATCAAAAACGAACAGAATAAGCAAAAGTTTATAACATTATTTGGAAATCTCGTCACCTTGATTCCTCTGAAGACTATAGAATTTCTTAAAAATGTGTTTTTTTAGTTTTGATTGAATTTTTTGGATTTACTTTCTACTCAAAAACGATCAATTTTGTAGTTTCACTTAAAAATACTAACGATCTGGAGGACTGTTACGCGAAAAATTATAAGATAAATTCATAGCATTGTAAAACTTTTTGAAAAACTTTTTTCAGCGTCGAGTTTGGGACAAAAATTAATTCTAAAAAAAATACATTCCTCCCGGTTTTCCCCGAAAATCATTAAGGTTTCCTCTAAAACCGATCACCGAACTGAAAGTTTTTAATCGAAAACTCAAAAAAGCATTATTTGCTGATCATTTTCTTCTTTTCTGACAATAATGGGGTCTTTTCAGCCAAAATGTACAAAATTAATTTGGCTAGAAAATTCGCCTTATTCATCGGTTTGCAGGGAACTGTAGAAAACCCATTTCAGCTTCAAATTTGGCGCAAAAAGCAAATAATTTTTGTCAGTTTTTTACCGAAAATAATTAGCATTATCTTGAAACAACGACCAAAGCAAAAGTTTACAAACATTTTTTTGAAAAATTCACCGAGCTCATCGCTCTGAAGAATTTTAAAGCTCCTTTAAATTTTCAGGTCATTCCAGTTTTAACAAAGTTTCTATTAACCAATTCTTTCTACGCAAAAATCGCGTTATTTTTTAGTTTTACTTAAAATACTGACAATCTTCAGGTATTTTCTGTGAAAAATTATAAGATTAACCGCTTTGCAAAAATTTTTGGAAAACTTTTTGCAGCTTCGAGTTATGGACAAAACCGTAATAATTATTTTTGGGGACTTTTCCAAAAATATTTCTCCGAACTGAAAAAGCGAAAGTTTATAATAATTTATTTGTAAAACTCTTGGAAACTGGGGTTTCTTCAATTTTTTAGTTCAATATTTTTAAACAACACTGTCAACACTGTCTCTAAACAGAAAAACCGCGTTTTTCTTAACGTTTTACTGTAAAATATTGGCAAACTGAAATTAAGATCGATTTTACAAGAAATTGTCGACTTTCTTTGGACTCAGTTCTGCTGCTGGGAAAATATATGTGACTTTTTTTTGTTATCTGAACAAAGTAGTTAAACGTTACTCAGAAAAATGTTGATGATGATGATAATCATAAAGCTTTAATCCGCTTTAATAACTGACTTATAACTCATTAACCGATGAATTATAACCCGTTAACTCCGAGAGCGGCAACAACTCAATAGCGCCTAACTCTGTGGGGGCCTAATTCAATGGCGATTCTTCATTTCTTCAGCATTATTTTCTTGATCTTGATTCCTTATTTTTCATTTTTCTTTGGCTTGAAAACGTAAATTCGGTTTCAGGCTTATTAGTTACGAATCAACGGTTTTTGGAAATTACGGTTTTTGGATTCGAAGTTCATTTTAATAGATTCGTAAATATCTGCTCACAAACTTGATGGCTCTAAGGAAGACGCCATAGTTTCAATGAATCTTTGGAAATAATTAGATTGATATAATCAATTAAATTTTTTAAAACATTTCTGTTAAGAAAATCGCTCCTAGCTATTTTCGTATTTTTTAAGCTAAACAAATAAAATCACATTTAGCCACCAATTAATCATATTTGTGCTTCAAATGTGTCCTTACCGATCTGTGTTATTGCTTAGCGGACTGGTTCAGTTACAAAGTGTGTTTAAATAATCCAACAAATCATTGTTTCGCATAATTAACAACGTGAAAGAAATAGAAGATTCAATAACGCAATAAGCAGAGAACCGTGTTTCGTACATTTCGTATGATTAGGTACAATTGTTGCCATTTTCTTATAATTTGAGTATTTTGTGAATTATGGATCTAAAAGTTAGTGGATTGGCTACTTTATATTCTTAGCTTAGCTCTTACAGGTGACGATAAATTATACGTTTTTCAATGCAAGTAGTGTATTCCGTCTATTTTAGTACGCAAAAGTGATATAACGTTAAATCTGTCTCAACTGTAATGTGTTTTCCTAGTCAATTTCAGTTAAATTCTACTTACCCTGAATTCGATACATACGAGTTCCTACTGGTTTCCAGCAAATTGAATAAAAGCCGCAAAACTAAAGCTTTAAATAAATCGTTATTGTTTAGGGTCATGGTTTTTTATGTGAATATAATAAATCTTCAGTACGAGTGTGTTTTTGTCTTTAAGTCGTCTTAAATCACTTGTAACAAGGCCTTGACCTCCCGCAAAACTCCAAAAAGAATTTATTTGAAAAAAGCTTGAAAACTGCGGACAATAAATAATGGCAGCAATAACCCAAATGTTTATGTCGCATTAGAAAATAGATCCAGAAAATGATGGAATCTCAAAGTCAACGTTAGCAGTCTTAAAATAGAACGTTATCAAAATGAATCTATTTATATGGGACATAATTATTTAAAGCAAATCTATTATTAAAATGTGTGATTTTATCATTTCAGGCAATAGCACAGCTATCCAAGACTTGTTCAAAAGAATCGGTGAAGCATTTTCAGCGATGTTTCGAAGAAAAGCCTTTCTGCACTGGTACACGGGCGAAGGAATGGAAGAAACTGAGTTTACAGAAGCCGAGTCGAATATGAACGATCTAATTTCGGAGTATCAACAGTATGAAGCCGCTTCAAACGATGATGAAGACGAAATTAATGATGATGATGGCTATGAAGATGACGATGAACGCTGAGGATAAAAAAAGCTTTAGGCTCAGTCTTCGATTATTTTCTCGACCGTTCTTTCGATGCAAATCAAGCAGCTGCAAACGATGAATAAGAATATTCAGCGTTCAGAGAACACGACGATGAACGTTCGGAGGAAAGAAAAATAAGCTAAAAGTTTCGTTCCTGATTATTTTCTAGATTAAATTTTCAGTTATAGAACTTATTAAATTTTCCCAACAAAAATGAAATTAAATCAGGTAAAAATGCAAGCCGATTGCTTGCAAAAAATGCAAGAAACACCAGTGTTTTATTTAATGAAAAGCTCCTTTCAAACCACAAAATAATGTCCTTTCATTAGGAGCATATTGGCGCCAATTTTGCTGAACTTTTATATCTATCTTATGGTTTGGAAGATAAAGGAGGTTGTAATGTGCGCCAATTTAAAAAGCAATTTTTCCAGGTTAACTGATGAATCTGAGGGGTAAAAATCAAATTCACGAAATCGTTCAAGCTTGAAATCCCCCGATAATTAGAATTTATTCCAGTGTCAGGAACAACGTTCCTAAAACTGGCGGATGATGAATTTTCAGTCTCTATCATATTTCCGCCAACGGAACGCATTAGTTTAACTAAAACCGTTCCGAATTATCTTAGTGAAAACTGATCGATGGAAAAGCAGTGGAAATTCAATTTGATTGGATCAAACCCAGCAGTTATATTTAGATAAATGGTTTTTTGTCGGGTGTCCAGAGAGAACAGACGGAAATTTGATTGAATTAAAATTAATACATTTTTTTAAGTTTTTTACGTAATGCGAGATTAGATGCTGCTCCCCAAAGAAAGCAGCTGAGAATAAAACGGAACATCAAAAGTAAGGACGAGCGGAATTGTTTCTTGTATTAATCTACATATTCAACTTTGATGTAAATGTGAAAATAACAGAGTCAGAGAAAACACATCGCAAGGGTATTAATAGAATCAGTCTTCTTATAACCATATTCATGTTTTTCGTTTCCACTTTAGAAGAGAACATCGATTTTTCTAGCAGAAAATAGTAGCAGAGTTTCGGACTGAAACATATCCAATTTACCGTTTAATATTTAGATGGAGTCTGATTTCTTTACTTCATCACATTTACATGAGTAACATGAGGGTTTAGTGCGGCAACATCATCAAAAGTCATTGATCGAATCATAAAAATAGCGCAATAAACTAACTCACAATCGTCTAATCTAAGCTCGATACCTGAAGTCTGAAGCTAATTGAAGGATATGAAAGTGAGACTTTTGAATAGTCGCCTGATGTGCAGTGATATAAGCATTTTTGGTGAAAGGCGTACGCAATCATGAACTGGACCTGCAAAGTTAATGGAAACAACGGCAAAACTATATCAAGTTGTTGTTCTTTAGTTCGGGGAGTAAAACAAACTTTGTCCAAAAGAAAAGTAAAGGCCAACCACAAATTGGCTAAAATTACGTGCGATGCACATTTCCGGCAAAAAAGCTTTTGCCGGGAACTTTTGGGTGCTTCAGACCCTTTTTTTCCATTATCCGGTCTCTGTACTGTCTCACTGAAATTTCATCAGCTGAATGGGAAGTGGAAAATCGGTAGACAAGCACTTACTGGTAAATGTAGCATGAAACTGGGCAGCTGCAGCCATTGGCATGGCTTACTATTGCACTCAGTTTTTGCAGTAGAGAGCACAATTAAAAAAACACAATTTAGAGTCTGGAAATCTAGACACCTGAGTGCGTAAAATCCAATTAGATGAAAATTTTCGCAGAAAGTCTAAAGTTTCCATGACACATTTTCTGTGTAATACTATATCCGATCTCGCGTTTTAATGAGACGGTTTCTGTAAAATACGTTTTTCTAAACCATTTATTCTCATTAAAATAAAGTGACTGTTACTGTTGAAAAATTCAAATTTCCTGCAACTGAATGGGTTGGAAAAAGGAATTAATTCTAGATATTGCCTAACATTCATAAGAGGGATTTTCATAACCCATCTGGCATCAAAGAAGGATTCATAGTAATTGAATTTTAAAACCCGTTTCTTCCTCGGATTAAAGGTTTTCAAATGCCAGAGTTTTTAGACATATTTCCTTAAGATATACGCTTCGGTTGTCTCATCATTCGGCTCATTATTATATGAAATTTCCCTAGTAGATACGTAGGTTGTTATATGAAATTTAAAAAATATGTCGGCTTTGTCCTTTAAAAGAAATACATAAAATTACTGGCTAGAATATATTTCACCCAAACGTACGTTACGAAACAATCGATTTGGATATTAAGTTGACTGAAGGCCCCAGCGATTTCGCACAATAGTTTAAAATTTATACCGGTGCAATCAAATAGGTTTTCTAAAATTCTCACTGCCATTTCAGAAAAGCGGAATTTTGGAAATTATTAAATTCAATTATGCGATAATTTGCAAACAGTTATATTTCGCAAGATTATTTTTTATTACTTTTAGTCTACGATCCAAATCTCCGTCCGACCACTCTTTTAATTATGAAATTTGTCGGATTTTTAAGTGGAATTACGCTGGAAGCTTGAAAACTGAACATTCTCCAGGAACTCGTTGAAATCATGTCTACTGCTCAAATTCAAATTCCTAGCACCTTCCAGAAAATATTTACGCAAGAAATGACAGTATTTTGTCGGGTTTTGCAGCGATAATGGAGGGTACAGTTACGGAACGTGGAAAGACATGAAAGTAATTGAGAAGATTTCATGGGGGACATTTGTTGGGAATATAATATAAAGTGGAAATTTCCGTAACAAGAGAGTATAATAATGTCTCTGTCTGTGTCGTAAGGCCTCTGTGTCGTAAGGCATTTGCAAATTTAATTGAACATACCACAGATATTTTAATTTGAAGTACTGAACCTCGCCTTTTTGTATTACAGCTTATCGTATTTCAGCTTTTGTCTAATCTCATAAAATCCCCTATTATTATTTTTCTAATGCAGAAAATCCAGTCACTGAAATTCTTCATAAGTTTTTCGGTAATTCCACAAACGAGGACATATAAAACTTTCGTCGTTTCATGATTTTGTCTCAAGAATTTCATGAGCGCTAATAACTCCCAAAGTCATTCGAGCACAAAACAGGTTTTATGCTATAAAGTCGCAGTAGTAAACAGATCCAGACTTGGAAGCTGAATGGATAATCTATTATTTTCCTGTCCTTACAAATGTCATCCAAAGCGTCATCCTTGGAAGCGAAATAAAGGATAACTAAGCTCTTATATCATGCATAGCTAGTTTCGAGCCCAAATCTTCTGCTCTGCTGATTTAACTGTCTAGCCATCTTCGAATAAAATGGCAAAGAGTGATAGATCTTAAATAGCTACTCAGCGGGGGTCTCAATACATAAAAAATTCGATAAAAATAAAATTTACTTACCTAAAGCAGTCTTTGTACGGACATTCCTAGAGTATCCCATTGGATGTAGTATTGCCCAATATCGATCTACTGAGACAGCAACCAGGCAAAAAATGGAAATCGTGCAAAGTACCACCAGTAAGGACACAGTGAACAAACACGCGTGTAGATTATTCGGCAGTCCAACGGAGGACATGATGGCAAAAGGAATTCCTAACAGTCCAACGAGGAAATCGGCAGTAGCTAAAGAAACAATGTAGTAATTCGTCCGCCGTCTCAGCTTCTTCTCCTTGGTGAAAACATAGATGACAAGGGCATTTCCAGCTACAGCCAATATAGCGACCACAATTTCACACACCACATAGGACACATTCAGCTCTCTGGTTTGATAGTCGTAAGTGGTATTTGTTCTAAGGGGCGTCGATTCGTTCATCTTCAAATGAAGCTCAGGCCCAGATAGTGAAGATAATGAGGCGCAGACAATGCTTTAGCCAAACTCCATTTTCGGGAATCTGTGCAGTTTCTTGTTGCCAACCATCTGGAATTCGAGATAATTTAAATTGGTAAACTAGAAATTTATTTAAATTACTTTAAATTCAACTCTATAATTAATTCTGAATAAAAGGTCGCCGAAACAGGCTATTATTTACTTTGCTGCAATATAATAAACGACTATTTGAAAAGAGGGCAAATTTGGGATGAAAGCATTCAGCAGACAAGGGTTTTTTCCCAGCAGTCATTTTATAAATTGAAAGTCTGTTACAGTGATTAATCGAAATTATTTGTATTCTTTTTATAAAACATATCACTAAAAAAAGTACATAAAATCAATTATCTCATCAATCCGATTCAAATGTAAAAAACGTTTTCAGTCTAAAGTAATTAAGGCATGTGAGAGCGATTTCATATTTAACCAGAATGTAATTAAATATACAGGGGGGACCAACGAAAAGTTTCTACCCCGATTTTTCCACTTTTTACGTAGAACCGTAGAAAAAGTTCGATCACATCAATTTTTGAGATTTAAGTTAAGTTAAGGGAGTCAACTTTTTCTGGTGCTTACTCATTTCAAACGTATTTTTTAACCCCAATTATAACGTGCGAGTTTGAACTCGCTTCTATGATCCCCGTCGCTTTAAGAGTGAGCGAAAATCATAGAAACTGTTTAAAGGTTTACTTTAAAAATAATTATTCGAAGGAATTGTGAATTTTAATATCAAATAAGAGCGCTCGTTATCAATCTGTAATAGAAGATTGGACGAAATTCTGTTTTTAAAAGGAAAAATCAGGAGGACCTGGCAGGCCACGCACTCAATTGGCCCTCTTCTGCGAATCCAATATTCTGCAAAAATGGAGTTTAGAAATTGATGAACTGATGCTGCATAATGTGGTAGAGCTCCGAATTTTTGAAAAGCACGTTCTCTTCTGACAAATTGTCATCTTGATCAATAACTTCTCTTATTCTAAGAAGAATATTTTCCTAAAGTAAGTTGAAATGCATCTGGTCGGTGAAATTGCCTTGTAAAATAAATGGCCCTATTTATTACATTTCAGTCGTGTACATTCAGATTACTACTTTAAAGTTGCCGGTTATAAAAATACAGCATTTCGCATAATTATTTGGGGATGATCAGAGTCACTTCAAACTAGCACGTTATAATTGGGGTAAAAATCCCTTTAAAGTTAAGGATTAGTCTCTATTTTTATAATACAATTTTTAACCGTTTTATTCTACAATCTTGAACTCTTTTTGTCAATCGATTGAATAATCGATGTCACGTTTTGGGGCAACAACATGACGCATTTTCTGCCTTCAGCTTTTCTGCTGAAATTTGGAAAAGAGCACTGACTAAAAGAATCACCGTCATTTCCAACAGTTTATTTCTACGTCATCTCGGTATAAAAAATAAAAAAGACAATTTTTGTACATTAATAAGGGATTGCCAAAGGTCTTGAAACATCGATTACGGTTGTGAGCTGGGGCTGAGGTGTTTCTACTGCCCAATGGAACCTCCTTGAATTTGAACTCAGAGAACTTTAAGTGCAGTTTTTTCTGCAAAGTATAGAACATGTTTGGTCGGGCAAGTTCCTCCAGTGCGGGGCGGTTTTATACGAGTTATATATCTGCTGCTGTGTCAAATTTAATCGTATAATTATATGAGAACACTCCACTCTAAAGGGCCAACATTTTTCACTGCTGGTGACAGGTTTTCGCAACTCATTTCAAGAATCTAACACCATCACGTGCATTAATTTAGGATAAAAGCATTCAGCATACAAGGGTTTTTTTCCAGCAGTAATTTTGAAAATTAAAACTCTGTTACAGTGATTAATCGAAATTATTTGTAATCTCTTTACAACATACATGAAATCAATTATCTCATGAATCTGATTCAAATGTAAAAACGTTTTCAGTCTAAGGTAATTAAGGCAGGTGAGGGCGATTTCTTGTTTAACCAAAATGTAATTCAATATACAGGGTGGACCAACGAAAAGTTTCTACCCCGATTTTCCACTTGTTACGTAGAACCGAAGAAAAAGTTCGAACAAATTAATTTTTGAGAGTTAAGTTAAGGGAGTCAATTTTTTCTTGTGCTCACTCATTTTAAAAGTATTTTTTAACCCCAATTATAACGTGCGAGTTTGAACTCGCTTCTATCATCCCCGTCGCTTTAAGAGTGAGGGAAAATCATGGAAATTGTTTAAACGTTTACTTAAAAAAGAATTATTCGAAGGAAATGGGAATTTTAATATCAAATAAGAGCGCTCGTTATCAATCTGTAAAAGAAGATTGGAAGAAATTGTGTCTTTAAAAGAAAAATCAGGGGGACCTGGCAGGCCACGCACTCAATTGGCCGTCTTCTGCGAATCCAACATTCTGCAAAAATGGAGTTCAGAAATTAATGAACTGATGCTGCATAATGTGGTAGAGCTCCGAATTTTTGAAAAAGCACGTTCTTTTCTGACAAATTGTCATCTTGATCACTAACTTCTTTTATTCTAGGAAGCATATTTTCCTAAAATAAGTTGAAATACATCTGGCCGGTTAAATTGCCTTGTAACATAAATGGTCCTATTTATTATATTTCAGTCGTGTACATACATACAGACTACCATTTTAAAGTTGCCGGTTATAAAAATGCCTCCTTTCGTACAATTATTTTGGGGATGATAAGAGTGACTTCAAACTCGCACGTTATAATTGGCGTAAAAATCCCTTTAAAGTTAAGAATCAGTCTCTATTTTTATAATACAATTTTGAACCGCTTTATTCTACAATCTTCAACTCTTTTTGTCAATCGACTGAATAATCGATGTCACGTTTTGGGGCAACAGCATGATGTATTTTCTGCCTTCAGCTTTTCTGCTGAAATATGAAAAAGAGCACTGACTAAAAGAATCACCGTCATTTCCAACAGTTTATTTCTACGTTATCTCGATATAAAACATAAAAAAGACAATTTTTGTACATTAATAAAGGATTGCCGAAAGTCGTGAAACATAGTTTACGGTAGTGAGCTTAGGCTGAGGTGTTTCTACTGCCCAACGGAACCTCCTTGAATTTGACCTCGTAGAACTTTAAGTGCAGCTTTTCTGCATATAGAACATGTTTGGAAGGGCAAGTTCTTCCAGTACAGGGCGGTTTTATAAGAGTTATATATCTGCTGCTGTGTCAAGTTTAATCGTGTAATTATATGAGAACACTCCACTTTAATGGGCCAACATTTTCCACTGGTGGTGACAGGTTTTCGTAACGCATTTCAAGAATCTAACACCATAACGTGCATTAAATTTCTATAGCTTTGTGTTTCAGAAGCTTACCCCTGACTATCAAATTTAATTCTCTTTGTCGTGAAAAGCATTTGTTTACTGCTTTTTCTATTATTGGATGTTCAGTCTGATTGAAAATGCGTTTATTTATTGAATTGCCCTAAGGCTTCGGCTTACTATTGTCATAATTTTGATTGCTTATTATCGATTGAGTAAATCGTTGGTTGGGCAATTCCATCATCTTCGCTATTAATTTTTTATAACTTTTGAACTTTTATAGAGACGCAAAATGTCTTGTATTTAACAATTTTCTCTGACTCAGAACTGCCAATTATTTCCGATTTTATGATAAAGGCTATTTAGTTATTAAATCAATACGATCTGCTATGTCATCCGTAAATCGGATTTAGAGAAATTTCAAGTCAAACACATTTTGGGAAGTGAAAAATGAAAGACGAAAAAATCACTCGAGCCCCCAAACAAGATGATATGAAGAAGTGATGCAACATGAGGGATATCAGGGGCCATAAATAAGTGACATCGGAACTTACCGAAAAAGCGTAATCCAACAGATTATAGAGAGGGGAACGGAAGAAGAAAAATAACGAAACTCAGAAACAATCAAGGAAAAATACCAAAAACAGGGAAGACATGCTGAAGGTCAGAGAAGAAATACTTCGATGAGGCACGACGATGATGTTCCGTAAATCTAAAGCGTGCAAATTTGAAGTAGTTTATATGAGCAACAATAATTTCCTTATTTATAGCTACAGCAATCTCATATAGGCAGTTAACGTATTAATTGAGTATTGTGATTAGTATTGATTTATGGTGTCGAAAACTTTTTCATAATCCGCAAATATTGGGCGTAGTATTTATTCATTATTTGAGACAATATCTTCATATGTGCAATAACTTCTTCATTATTTTTGCGTATGCAAATGCAATGATATTGTTATTTTTACTAGTAAACTTTGAGTTTGTTGGTTCTCCCACAGCCCCTTCATTCGGCGTGCTTTATAGTTTGCCAGATATTGCTATTTTCCTGGCAATTTAAGTGCCGATGAGACGTCCAGTTCTTATTATTTGCGTTCCTCATCCTCTTCAACCGTTTATTTTCTGTCTTGTAAATTTTCCTTTCTTTAATAGGTATTCAAAACTGTGATATGTATTAAAATTTTAATTTTATTTTGAAATGTTCTCGTGAATTGAACACCGGTATTTAAGGGAAGCTTCAATTATGACTCTGAACGTGAAAACACGCTCGTGCAATATATGATAAAAAATGTAGGCAACATCTTCACCTTTAAGAAGAGTTTGAACTTTTTAACTAATTTCAAAACCGCTAGCGAAAATATATTTTTTATTGTGTATAATTCGATGAAAAATGTAATTAGTTTAGTATATGCACATTCAATAAAACCTAATGGAAATTAAGTGAGATAATTAAAAAAAAAAACTACAAAAATACTCCAGACGTTCCTTTCAAAAAACTAAATCTTTAGAGTAGGTCGCACTGTTTCTTAAGCATTTTGAATGCAAATAACAACATCATACAAAATCAAACAAAACGCTATAGGGATATAAGTGAGGAGCGAATGTTTTAATGCAAAACGACATGAATGGCTTATCTTTGCTGACACATTTTGCTATCCAAAATTGCAATTTAATAACGCACCACCGCCGGATTAATGGAGCTTTGTGATAAACGTTCCAAATTACGGTCACATTCTTATAGCACGCAATAATGTTGAATTATTAAGGCATCTAATATTAGTTTTTTATCTCTAATAATAAAACATGGCAGTCAATAATGGATATTGCGGAATTATTGCAGACGAAAAAGTAGCAGCAGGCAAATCATCAGTTTGGAGTGTGCAAATAAAAGTAGTAGATAATAGTAAAAAATTGCAACAGACATTCTTTTCATTAAGATAACAAAACACGTGAAAACACTGTTTTTCATACAGTTTTTCTCAAACGATGATAAATTGTTACAAAGAGTCAAGAAAGCAGAGAAAACACATTTCCTCCGGCTGTATTTACTCAATTGAGTTTTACATACGCTCAGTTTAATTAATCTCTATTTCGTTTATATGGTACGCACAATCTCACCATATTCATCTTGGGTGGTCATACCGATTTAGCCCATAATAATTAACAGCGATAATTAGCCTAATGCTCGTTCTAATATCTCCCATTTGTCTACACAGCTCACGTAGAGCTGGGAATCAATATTCATTTTTTAATTAGCTTCGTTTGCTACCTGACCCTGCTTAGGAAACCGTATTTTATGTAGTCGTTCCAAAGCTGGCTATTACTTAATGAACTCGGCTTTTAATTAGTACTTCTGTATCACGTAGTGGGTGGATTAATAGCCTTGAGTAACATGAAATAGTGATCATGGGGCTAAATTTTCCTAAATCCACAATTTTTATAATTCTATTTGGTTTAGTGCAAGGGAAAGAAATCGAAAGAAAAATCTGGGTATTAAGAACATCTGCTACTAGTTGAACACTTTCCTCCAACTGCATTTCATTAGAACCACTCTCTAGTAAGTAAGATTCGTTCATTTTTTTCTCTTAAACAAGCTCGTCATAAATACGATTTCGATTAGGGTTTTTCACCAAACTCATTCTCATCAAATCAAGATAAAAGCATTGCTGTTCTGTAAGTATTGCCAGGCCAGATCAAGAGGTTCTTTTACGAGACCTAAAACCGCTATACAGTAAACCTGACGCATAAATTTAGAGATAAAACCGATATTTTTCTATAAATTGGACACCAATGGCTGAATATCGGCAGTCCAATTCGAGGAGGTTTGTATAAATGAAATGGATAAAAAAATCAATTTGTTCTTAGCAGAAACTGCTAATACAAACATAAGCTGTCAAAAAATGTCCATTTGAATAAAACGTTAACCGCTTTCACAATAACAAGCATAATACTTTAAGCTAAGCACTGGATAAAATTTTTTTTTAATTAACAATTTCGACTTATTTAAACAGTTTAAAGTGCAATAATAATCATTGGTGTTTGGAAAACTCCGACTAAAAACACCCTTGCTACACTCAGATCATCTGCACGTGTGAATTGCTAACGATCCCATTCCAGTTTACGACTGAAGGAAAGGAAGTCGACTTAACGAAAAAAACGAACTGTAGCTGAGTGTTGAAGAACTAAATAAAAATTGCAATAAAACGAAATTTTCGCTCCGAAAAATCCCCAGTCAAATAAATTAGGCAAACTGATTTAAATTTGCCGAAGGAAAATCTCATATGCGAAAGTAATGAAAATTGGCTAGTCAATCATCAGCCTGAAAGAATAAGGGGTAGATTTGAACCCGATACATAAATATTATGTTTAAGCAAAATGTGATTTAGTCTCCACTTTATTTTATCTACTTCACGGTGAAGGAAAACCGTTTTAAGATGATTGATTTATGTTTGATTTATCTATTTACCCGCAGCTTGTCACCAAATCTGGAATAGTTCTAGATTTTTGTTCCAGACAAAAAGTCGTTATCATGCAGGTCGTAAATGTAGGCGTCGTTTTTCAACTTTAAGCGTACATTTTAGGTCGGCAATAAACCGAAATATTCGAGTGAGGGAGCGAAATAAAAGAGGCTGTTTGCATTTCGTTTAGACCTGGTGGAAAATGTAATCACCGCACCGACATCATGCAAAAAACGGGAAACTTCCCTTTTCATCGCCGTACATACTTGTAATATATGGGAAAAGTCCACTATGGTTCCATAAGAAAGACCCTTTATTGAAATTACTTTCACTGCCGGAAAAATCAAGGATTTCCTTTCTGAAAGTTTTTTTTCCTTTCCACAGTTTAGAATGTGTGAAAAAATGGCTAGTATTACGACCCAATCTCATAAATGTCGCAGTTTTTAAGCTCGTAAAAATTCACCAAAACCAAAACAAACTGCTCTGAGGCAATTTTTCTGTACCGTAGAACTACTCGACTCCGTGCGGCGCGTAAATTTTTACAACACACATTTTTTCTTAAACAAAATAATCCTAAAAATACGACGTTTTAGTGGGATACATAAGCAACACATCATTTGGATAATCCAATACACCCATTATATCACAGTAAAAACAAAATTAAAAAGTCGTAACTTGAAATGTTTAAAAAAACCTAAGCAGGACCCCAATATTTGGTTTAAATTCGTCGCTTTATAATTCATGAAACGTCGAAAGCACAAGTATTAATAATCATATGAAAGCTCATAAGAACGGTAAATTTTTGGCTAGAAAACCGCTAAAATTCCAACCTCATTCGCAATAAAGGCCAATAAAAAGGCTCGGACTTATTTTTCTGATGAAACATTAATGACCCAGCTTGTGTAAGTCGAAACAATTTCCAAAGTTTTTTATTAGTTTGCTCGAAGTTTAATAGCGTCCCTCAGTTCAATTTCTCTCTCAACATTAGGAACAACAGCAAAATAATATCTGAAGTTGGAAGTAAAGGCGAAACGTTCAAGTTCAAATCGCAGAATTGCCAATATGTCTGATTGAATCACCCAAAACAAATACGGGCTTGGAGCAGCTTTAATAATGATAGATTTTTTTGAGGGCAGATTTCAACAAAATTTTTGAAAAATCAAACACTTTTTTGGGGTGATTATAAATTTAATCAATAGAGAATGAGACAGGAAAAATATTCCACGAAATTAATGACAACAAGAGCGTAAAACCGAAATACTCCGCAATCTTCGAATTCTGAATACATCGAACTAAAGATAAATAATTAATCAACAATATTGACGAACTGCCCGAGGATGTTTATTAGTTTTGCAGTTATTTTGATACTTAATATGAATCGGCACTTGTTGTGGTCCAGAAAATGGGAGCCTAAATAGATTAAATTTGGAACACTCGCATTTACTAAGTGAAAGCAAGACGATTTTTATTACTCATCGAAATGATCCGACGAGAGAAGCGCCCAGTCATTTTAGGCTCATAATTCCCCAAATAAATATTTCTATTGATCTTCCTTATTTCAGTTCAATGTCCCAGTTTTAAGTCAAAATTCCTTCGTAAGCAAGAGAAGTTTTAGGTAGTTTGAAACTCATATTTCGTACTAAAATTCTGGGTCGACACCATTAAAATTTGCTCTTTGCTTTAGTTTATCCAGTGTATATAAAAAGAGGTTTCAAAATACACCCCTGAACTCGATAAGTATCGAATTCAAACAAAAAAGCTCTAAAGCATTGCTACTCAAGATTGGAAAATTGAAGGGATTATTTCAACATGGCTTATCGTAAATAGTGTCTGTTCACCCTAAGGAAATCATTTGGTAAACGTGCACAGATTTATAATGGAATTGTCTGCGATTACCACGTAAAATTGAGTTCTTTATATCTTATATCGCATTCGTTTCAGCTTTTTCTTGAAATCCTCCATAATTTACGTGTTCAAAAAATGTACGGGTTCAAACTGCGATCACTTTTAGTATGTAGCTTTTGAGGCTTTCAACCTAACGTTCGTTTAACATAATAAACCTGCGGTTTAGCGAACAAAAGTAACAACAAACTGATAAAAATATGAAACAACGTACAGCCACAAAAAATGAGATATAAGAGAGAGTGTTTAAAATGTTAGTTGTATACCTTCGGCTTTACGTAGGAGAAATAGGATGGCCTGTGCCAGGCTCTGAGCAAAACCAACAACAATTCATAATAAATAGCACAATTATCCGTTAATGGCAAGTTTGGCTGGTGACTTAACAGACCATTAAGACTCAATTTGCAGGAAAATTGAGCATTCAAAAACAGGATGCAGATAATGGCCATTGTGTCAGTCCGAACACCTTTAGTCAATTGTTGTGCGCGTTAAGTAAAGCGGCTTCTTGAAATGAATGAATGAAATGAAAATTTAAATGAATTTAGCCACTTTATCCTGCATGATGCATCTTTAAAATTGCCTAACTTGATATCTTCTGGAAAGACGATTTAGGATTGATAACAAAATGTTTTCACAAAAAATTCTCAATTACATTAAAACTTTTGGCGGTTTACTTGGTCGTCAAAATAAGTTGTAACTGTTTACTTTTGAAGAAAAATACCCGCCTTAGTAATCATGGAAAAGACACAACTTTGCCAAAAACTTTTCAAACTTCTTAGGTGAGGGTTTAATAACTTACCTCTATAACTGCCAAAAACACATTCACATAACTAATCACCTCACGGTTGCAACAAGTGAATAAACCAAAATTTAACTGTTTAACACGTCAAAGTTTCGTTCCTCCGCGTTTCAGACGTCGCGACGACTTTGAAAAGCGCACTTTGACGCTCTTCTTACCGCAATCATCGCAGACGACCGCGACTCCTGATTCATCGGCCGCTCTGACAGTTGCGCATCATGCTCAATTTAGCGCTTCATAAACCATTTCGTATCTGAAAAGTAAATGAAACCGTAAAAGCTAAAATATGTTTGTTTCCACCTGTTTTTATAATGGGCAACTGTCTATGGCGAGCTGAAAAATTACTTTAAATTTATTTTTAACTGTAAAAATAAGAAAATTTCGACAGCCGATAATTACTAACTAATTAAAACTTTTACAAAATCTTCATTTTTATAACTTAAAGAATATTTATTATTTCACATTAAAAACTGCGAAAACTGAGTGACAAAATATTTTCGATTTAGAATGAAGCTGTAAACAGCAGAGCGTTTGACCTGGCCATACGTTCAAACATTTTTCTCAAATTCCTTTGTAATGAGCGAAGTTTGGCTGCATATTGAGTCAAAATGACCGCAAACAACTCAGATCTCTTAAAACTGAATTGAGAGAGAAAAAAGAATTGAGGCCGCATCTGTGCAAACTTGAATATTTACAGGCGAGCGTACATCAGCAGCAAACAATTTTTGGTAATGCGGCATCGAGTATGAATGGTTTATTTACTGGGCTTATCTTTACAATTGTAACAATTGGACGGAGTCTTGACCGAAATATTGAAAAGTGGTCAATATTGAAATTCCACGTTCGAACAAAATGCTAATGGAATATACTTATCGCTCGTTTTAAAGTAATCGCCGTAATTTGTCCTGTAATACAGACGAATCATCACAACATGTTAGTGATGTTCGGAAGTGACTGGATTTTCGTTTTCGGGAGAAAACAAGTGTAAAGTGAGTTCTGTTGTGTCTTAAAAGTTGAAAATAATTTTTCCTCAGTTTCAGCCTTTAGAATTTATCTTTAACTCAACACTCCCGACTTTATTTCAGAAAAGTTAATATTAATAAGTTTGTATATTTGGTTATTAGAACAGTGTCTACTTTTCCAAATTTTACGCGGGAGTTTAATACGGGATGTTTTAAAGCCAATGTGGTTATTACTAAATTCTGAGGCAACAAAAATGTCCAGCTTATATTCACATGACACAAAATACATATTTTTGCTCATATAATGAACTCTTGAACTACTGTCGAACATCCATCACTTTGAAAATACAGATAATTTGTTTTTTTCTTGGTTGGGAAAAGAAAAGCCATAAGCTGCGTGGAATAAGGATCGAGGAAAATTTAATGTAAAATAAGGAAAATTTGTCTGACGGCCCTTTATTAATTAATACTCTAATAGAACCACAAATGATCACTTTTTATCTAGCTTCAAGAAACCTGAAGTATTGGAAAAATACTTGGCGTTTGCCTCATTGGCATTTGTTTCCGCTGCCTGTGGATTAACAATTTCCAATCCCTAAGCAACAAAATGACAAAATTAGAGACAATTAAGCCCTATTATGTCTGGATAAGCACAATAAACATTATGTTTCGCAAAAAATAATACAGCAAGATTGAAATGTCTTACCTGTAGTGGAGTGAAAGCCACACTGGAAGCAGTGCCAGAAATCTGCTTTTTGACGGTCGTGCTTCCGCCCCAAATCTGCTGCTTCTGTAGATTTTTCTGTAGCGTTTTTGAAATGCGCACTTTTGTCTTTTCGTCAACTTGCGGTAGCCTGATTCGACCCGTGCCGGCTTTTCCTATGGTTCCCCTGGTATAACCCAGATCCTCTTGATAAGCGTCGTCTTCTATCTGGAAAACAAATAAAACTTGTGTTACGATTTTGTAAAAAAATATGTGCATTTTCCGTGTTACCCACCTCAGCAAAGTTCATGCGATTGGCGTGTTTTCTAAACTCGGTCAACGCATAGCGCTCCTTCATTTTCCGCACCCCTTTGCCGCCCCTTTTCTTCTTCGGCTGATCGATGGGCTTGGGCAACGGTTTCACAAATTTCACTGGAGGCGGCTCCAACAATTTGTCAAGTTTTCGCTCAATTTCATCTCGCAACATGCGTCCAATTCGTCCGTCTGAGCTTTCATGACAGGCATCGACTCGTGCGGCCAATGTGCTTTTCGTTGACACCAATCTTGCAGCTTTACGTCTTAGATCCTGCAAAAAATATACATAAACATAAACTAAATAAATGGAATTTTCTGTTAGTAAAGATCAAGACCTTCATTACTGATTTGTAAGCTAAAAAACACAAACACAAAAAGCTGCCGATTTGGCGTTATGAAAAGCACTGAAAGATTATACTTGGTAATGTAAAACCGGCTGAAATAACCATTTAAATACAGTATCTTTTAACTGTTAAAGTAGCCTCCTAAAAAAAGGCAATTTAACAAGAGGATGCATTACAGTAAGTATATCATGATGAGATGGGATTAGGCGATCTATTGCAAAAATAAGATAAACGGTAACTTACAGGCGGTGTATTCTGCACAATATCACAGTAATAAATGAAGCCAGTGTTGGGTAGCATTGCGACTTGACTAAATCCAGACAAGCTCTTCTTCTGTTGGCCCAGCAACATAACGTTGCATGCTGGCATTTTGGAAAGTCTGGTAAGTCCACCAGCTACTCCCATTACTTTAGCAGCGTATGAAGCGCCTAGGATGGTGGTAATATTCGGTGCAATAAACGTCATTCGGCTCTCAACGTACTCGTAAATTCGCAGCTTGAAGTTGTTCAATTCAATGGCCATGTCACAGCCTTCGTCGATTTGTTCTTTTTCAAAATCTGACAAAAACGACCTAATAGAAAAAAGTATGTAAAACATATTGAATAAAATCACATATGAAAGGCAACATTTGTCAAAAACAGATCCGTTTTACTCTATCTAGAGAAAAAAATTGAACTCAGTTTCTGGTTGAAATGTGTTCAAATGAATTTTGCTATTTGCGTGCTATTTTTATACTTTGTTAGTTGCTGTTAAAAACTTGTGCTTCCAGTAGATAATTTCAACCCCTTTTCGGACCTTTCTCCTGAAATCAATTGTAATTTTTGCTGGTCCATTAACATTTTATCCGCATACAGAAAATGCAATAATTTGCTGATAATTTACTTCAAAGGAGATCAGGTTTTCTATGAAGACAAAGTAATGTTTCTTGATAAGTCAAAAAGACAATAATTTCCTGCCAATCCAATATGCTTAAGAGAAAACGCGAAGTAATCAAATCCAAAATCAGCATTTCTGAATAAAACTAGACATATTTACCCTTGTGTGGTTGAAGCTGTAACAGACACAACCATAATGGTGGCCTGAGTGAGGAATGTTTGCAAAGTCTCATTATTTTTCGCTTGATCTAGATCATTGCCCAACTCCTTCACTGTTCTCACATATTCCAAGGGGCTGACAACCAACGAATCCAGCTCAGGAAACCGCTTCTGATATTTATCTCTGACAAACTTGTGAACTGTTATCTGAAATTTAGAAAAACAAGTTACTTGTAACATAAACAAGATGGCTTGTTTATATTACTTACCACTTCATTGTCAATATCTGCAGCCAAGTCGTTGGCTTCCACGATTAACTGGTATTCAGGATCAGCCTCAACAGGTCCGATAATCTCAGTTGCATTTCGTACTTTGGGGCCGTAGCTCTCAATTTGCTTCATGATATTGATCAGCTTTGGACAGTCACGCAGTTTGCACAATTCTATGGGCCAAAGTATGTTTATAGTTTTAACGGTAATGAAATGCAAATCATCCAATTTACGTACCCCTAACCGACTGGATTTGCGTGGTATCAATGTCCATTTGCAGTTGCTTGATATCAGGTTTTTCCTCTTTTATATCCACTGCCTGTTCCTCGGTTTCCATTGCCTCATCTTCATCCTCACCCTCTTCATGGTCGTTTTCTTCCAGGTCGGCCAAAAGCTCATCGGCCAAAGACATGTTTCAATGTTTCTTTAAACAAATTCAATGACTTATATTTTGATGCAAACTTTCTGAGCTGATAGTAGGGTTATGTTCATAGGTTATGTCACCGAAAACCACAGATCACCGACTCTGTGATCAGGGCGTTTATTTTCATGCGTTTTCGTGTTCTCACCCGGGGAATTTTTGTATTGCCAATTGCCTAAAATCGGTGAGCGTAAATTCACTTGGTCTAGACCAGGCGAGTAACAATTCAAATGTGTGAGAATATTTCTTTCATGCGCAAACAGGAAACTGACTGAATCCAGAGTTTGATAATCTGTGATACAGAAATAAATTAATATAGCTTGTGAATATCGAATTTGCTCTCACCGATTTTAGGCCATCGGCAATACACAAATTACCCGGTGGCCATCACGTAGACACATGAAAATAAGGCCCCTGTGACGTTGTGTTCAAGGGTGATATAAGTTAGGTTACCCACACACATTCGAAATTCAACCCAACTCAGGTAATAAATAAAATATAAATAAGAATTCAGTAGTCATTAGATCTTTTCAGATCTTTTGTTTTTTACCTTGAGCACGAACCAGGTAGGTTTAGTTACTGAATTCTAGGCATGGAAATCTAAATTAAAGGTATGTGTGAATAATTGTAATCATAATATTTTAGTTTCATTCATGCCTGTTTCAGTTGATTTTTGCTTGGTATTTAACATGCCGAAAAAAAGTCCCATTTGGGTTCACTTTTCGGAAGAGTCGGAGGGCAAAGTCACGTGTCTCTATTGTGGTCAGCAATTATCAGTTAAAAATAAATCTACATGTTCACTTATCCGGCATATGAATCAAAAGCATCCTGCTCAATCAATCAGTAGACGAACAATAACAGAAGCCCCAATTAAAGAAGCAAATTGTTCAATTGAACAACAACAACCAGCAGAAGATTCTGCAATTAAACTGTATCAACAACCATCAACTTCAGGAGCAGGTAAATTGCAAGCCATCAGTAGTTTGCTTCAAAAACCTCTATCAATTGTGACAGAAAACGAAATTGATAAACAGTTAATCTGCATGATTGCAAAGGAATATCATCCTGGCATCGTAGAGGATAAAGAATTTAAACACCTGCTTTATTTATTAAATCCTAATTACAATGTTCCTACACGAAAAACAGTTTCAAATTTGATGATTCCAGCATTTTACAATGAAGCACTTGAACTAGTTAAAAGTCGTTTAGATAGAGCATTTGTAGTATGTCTAACAACTAACGGGTGGGCATTCCGCAAAAACGACAGTTTTCATACTGTTACCGCTCATTATATTGTGGAAGAAACCAACAATACCTTCTTATCTTCCGATTTGTTGGGATGTATATCTTTCACGGAAAGGCACACTGCAGAAGACATTGCCAACAAGCTTAAAGAAGTCATAGATGACTGGAAATTAACTAATAAAATAGTTGCCGTTGTGTCAGATAATGCGGAAAATATGAAAACTGCGATGAGTATTGGCGGGTGGAGTCACTGGGATTGTTTGGCCCATTCTTTAAATTTAGTTAGTCAATCAGGTTTGAGCGAAATCAAAGAAGTTGTGGATAAAATAAAAAATATAGTTGCTTATTTTAAGCGGAGTAGCTATGCACTTTCCCAACTAAAAGCTGCTGCAGTACGTATGGAGATACCTGTACTAAAATTAAAGAATGAGGTAGCAACACGCTGGAACTCTACGTACGATATGATGTGTAGAGTTTTACAGATGAAAAATGCTATTATATCTACCTTAGCTCTTCTAAGTACCTCATCCAGTAGCCAGCAACGTGATGATTTTGAATTGACTACTCAACTTCGTAATGAAGAATGGATTGTAGCAGAACAAGCAATAAACGTACTGGAAGTTTTTAATTTGATAACACTCGCCATAAGCTCAGAGCAAAATATTAATGCCTCTACCATCATATTTTATTATAAGCAGATCAGTAAACATTTAAATTCTTTTGATTTAACTGCAGTCATGCCCCAAATAAGCAATATGGTAAAAACACTTCAATTGCAACTAAGGAGCAGGTTTCACCATATACAACGAAACAACTTAATAGCTCAAGCAACTATTTTGGACCCCAGATTTAAAAAATTAGGGTTTATAGACGAGGAAGAGTACCAACGAGCCGTAGAAAACTTATATACAGAAGTAGCTAACACTAAACTAGTTGATGAAAATGTAGAAAATAAAACATCTGATAATATTATTAAAATCAAAGTCGAACCAATCGAGCAAAAGATTGCGCCTGAAAAAAATCTTCTTGATGCTTTATGGGATGACTTTGATGCGAAAGCTCGACAAAGCTTAAATCCGAGCGATTCCACAGCATCTGCCATTGTAGAAGTTAATACATATTTAGAGGAAAGTATTTTACTTAGAAAGGATACCTCAGGAGTTTTGCAAGATCCTTTTGTCTGGTGGCATCAAAGAAAGTACATATACCCAAAACTATACCAAATTATGAAAACTCGACTATGTATAATGGCTACATCTGTCCCGAGCGAGAGAATTTTTTCGAGAGCAGGGCAGATAGTTAGTGCAAAACGGGAGATATTGAAAAGCGATAAATTATCTCGACTAGCTTTTTTGAGTTATAACTTAAATAATTGTACTTAATTAGTCTAGTTTTTTAAAAACCAGTTACTTTAAGTTTTCAATTTTAGTTTTTACGAAAACAGTTTGTAATGTATTGTTAGGTTTAACTTTGCAAAAGAATACAATCCATACAAATTTAAGCGATTTAATGAACGCCTTGCACGATCTCCATATCTCCATCAAATCAATAATCCTCAATCCTCTCTACGCAACGTCACCACTTGTTGGTAGTAGCCCCGATGTTGCCACTCTCGTTCTGGGTTCCGCCTACCAGTGTTGCCATTCCTTCCGTTGTAAGAAACATAAAAGCTGCCAGTTTATTAAAATGAATTGGAATAAAATTGAATAAAAACGACGGGCTTTGTGTTGGAAGTGAAAGTTTTGAAGTGCTGCCAGCATCAGATCTGCAAGAAAAAGTAAACATAATGAAAAAGTAAGAAAGAAACTCAACTGGGGACAGTTTACAGTTTCAGAGTTCTAGTTCTGCCATTGTAGTAAATTTGAAAACAAAAAAATATTTTGAGAAATTTCAATTATTTGAAATCGGTTTAGTGTTAATAACTCTGTCCCATATCTGAAAAATACTCCGTATTTCATTTTATAAGCGTCATAATCGATATAGAAGATGCTTGTTTTTTGATTTACTTTAAACTGAAGATTTAGTAGATTTTTCCCATAAGAAATGAGGCGAAGTGGATTTACCTTCGCACCTCTTTGTGCCTTCCAAAAGTGTTACCTCCTCCTCTTAGATTTCTGGTAACTGGTCATAGAAGCTTTTAAATAGCTAGAATTTGTCTATTGATTTCTGAAAATGTGGAATTGTAATTTTTGGTAAAATAAGAATAAGTAATGTTGCACGTCTGAGAGCCAAACCAAAAAAGCAACGAATGTTTTACTCTTGCAGATGATCAAGATATGAACATTTTTAAACAGTCTAACAGATAGACTGAAGGAAAATTGTATACGAATTGAAAAAATGATGAATCGTTGGAGCAATTGAAACGTAAAAAACATATGTGAAAAGTAATTAATTAAACCAAAAATATTCAAATGGTTTTTTTTTTTTCCAAAAATTTCCAAAATGTTATTTTGATGAGCTTTTCCGGAGGTTAACTTTCTCAAGCAACTGACAGATTTCAAGATGAAACAGCAGGAAACTCGTCTGAAAAATTGACCCAAAAAGTTTCCATTTTACATCTATCCTAAATTAAAAACAACCAAATTCATTCCTGGGTTTCAATAGAGACAATAAATGAAACCCAGGAATGAATTTGATTTGGAATTAAAACACAGTCAGGAAAGTATATACAATTAAAAACAACTGAATTTTTTTTGTTTTCATCTGCTTTTTGAAATACTTTAAGAGACCTTTTTTCGAGAAAGTAGTTGTAGAAAACTGAAAGAACAATATCAACACCTTCTCTCGTTTGGGACACTGTACATTGTTCGAAATACGTGTTGCCTCAGTAAATGCAGCTGATTTTTTTTTCATTTCCAACATTTTTATCTTTACATTTTCAGGCTTTTTGTTTCAACTCTGTTTTTGGGGTTTAACACAAGCATTCTGCTATCTGCTTAGAATTTTCTTTAAATGTAAAACTTTTCTTTCTAAAAATTCTTCGATTACTAATCCTTTTTAGACTTTTTCTTTCTCAGCAGGCTTTAAAATGCGTTTAAAGCTTGCAGTATAAATTGCAAAAAAAACATTTTCCCCCTTTGTAAAATTATTTTTACGATTTTTTACAGATACAATTTTTTTTTTGTATCTGAGTTTTGGCCAATGTTAATTGCTTTTTGAATAAGATATCGCAATTATTTATCAAGAGAATAAGAATAATTCTTAGGGCTCCGTTTTTATTCGTCAACTCAAAACAAACTAGTAACTTTTCTGTTTTATGTCTTTAAATTATAGAAAATATTGACCAAATCAATTTTTCTAAAACCAAAAAAACTGCCCTTTTTTTAGTTCTCGAAATGTATTTATTAACATCACAAATGTACAAATAATAATCAAAATTCAAATTTTAATGTGATAAAAAAAGAAAACATTATGTATGAGAAGGATTAAATCTGCAATGTTTTATTAATTGGAAATCAACGCCACCAGGCATTTAAGTTGTTCTTTGCAGCTAAAAAGACATTAACAAATGGAGAAGTGCCGCGTCATCTACTGTCCCAGCCATGAAGTAGCCCGATGTTGCCGTTTCCGCCTATCACCGAGGTTGCTTACAGTATTTTTATTTCTGAACTTATTGGTTTCTATTGCGACGTCAAAGTTCGCAGAATTTTCTATGTCTTAGTTTTAATTTAATGATTTTACAATAGTTTTCAATGCTTTCATGTCATTTCAATAACACCACTAAAAACAAGTAGCTCTTTCAATGAGACTGTTAAATACATTTAACGACTACATTTTGTACACAGGTCTCCATTCAGAGTTTGCACTTTTGCTGAACACTTTAATAAAGATATTAATGTTTTGCAACGCTAAAGACAAATCTAAAAACGCTCAAATCTCAGTTGTAAAGTATGAATACAATGATTTTCTCTATACCTACTTTTAAGTCACTGTTAAAAGTTTAATGAAGTTCGGTAGGCTTAAATGTACTATAAGCCGTTTAAAAATCAATAATTTCAAGAGGCTATAAATAAACCTGAACTCTGAAGTCAAATAAACCAAATTGTTATGGAAAATGTGCGGCCCTTAGCTAGGTGCAATGCCCTTAATCAGTGTAAATCTGGCTGAAATATAAATATCTCGATATTTATATATTGTACCACACCATTTAGCACCAGAGTTTCCTCTGGTAAACGTAATGGGCCTTAAGCGGCTTTGATTTGAGCACTTTTACTAGAGAAATACGAAATACAAATTTCAACTCGTCCACCTTTTGACAGTGGGCGCGCGATGTTGCATTAAGCCCGTACGAAATCTGACAACGTGTTTAAAATATATTGTTTTAAATAGTTATTTTCCGATTTAGAAGCAAATAAAAATAACACAACTTTGTGATTTAGTTGGAAATTCATAAATCTCACTTATCGGCCAGAAATTGCAGCATTTTGAGAGGATTTTGTTGGGAAAAAAGTGAATTTCTGAACGCGTGTATGTAAAGCAGACATCTATGCATAGCGTTGAGGTGGTTGAGGAAAATGAGGGCCCAGAGGGCAGCACTTGGTTGAAGTCGGGCAAGTTGGGCGAAGCAACGGTATGTGATTCGACGAAGCGCGTCCGCCATTTTGATGCGCGAAAGTGGGGGTATGAGCATTAAGCATTTACCTTATTTCACGTAAAATCCGAAACAAAACTGAACTAATTAGAGAAAAACGAATCCCACTTGCTTGCTGCTTAAACGTGGTTCGTTTGGCTGTTAGACGCAGCTAAAAGTGAAAGTGTTTGTGTTTACCGAAATAAGAAAGCTCCCCAAGTTGCAACTCCTGAACAGCGTGGCCGAACGGGCTTCTCTTTGTTAAGGTTTCAATTTCATCTGCAAAGTAAGTAATTCGTGTGTTATTTCTCGATTAGGGCTGTGCCGCGATGGCGTTTAGGGCTACAAGGCCGAAAACCCTTTAGCAGCATGCATTACACAGCCATGTCCAGCACTTAGCTTGCGTGTTAATAAGCTTTCTCCTCGATGAGAGGTAAAAGTGTAAAGGCGAGTACGGTAACGAAACACGATAATCTTGTTTGTTTTCACCGGCTCACGGTCACATAGTTTTCCACCTTCAAGTAAACAGATTGCGTGGATTTCCACCAGTTCCGCTTTTCCGGTACCGATAAACAACGTGTAATGGGGCCTTGTGTTGATTGCCTTTTGGGCGATCCAGTCGCTTCCTTTTTACCCAAACGTTTTTATGGAGCTTGTAAGCACATGTTTAATTGTTGCAGCTATTTTTCATATCACTCAGTGTTAACCTCTCTGACTGCATGCATTTAGGCATTAGCATATTCCCTTAAAATCTGATAGTCTCCTGGCGGTAGGTAAGATTTGTGGGCCTTCTTAAGACATTAGTTGTCATTTGCTGGAAATTTAATGAAATCCAATGAGTTTTATACTTGTTTATTGGGAATTTAACCCTAAGAAATTATTTTTGTGGCTCATCGAATTGCTATCGAATCGAATATTTAGAATTGCTTGTGCACAGTATCCACCTGGTTCTTCTACTGTATTTATCATTTATTGCAATCGCTAGCTTAATCGCTTGATATTCATTGAATAACAAATATGACAAACTATTAGCCTGACAAGGTTTTCAAGTTGCATGAGCTTTAGAAAATGTGATGCAGTTTCGGATGTCGGAAGCTGGTAACAAGATTTTTGTACTTTGAAAAATGCTTATTTCAATGCTGCGTTTTTCAGTGTGCAAAATGCAGCAAATTTTATTATTTTGGCGGTTTTTTCATTTAGAGTTCGAGAGGGAGTAGGTTATTTGCTCAGTTCCAATGCAAGTAATATGGCACTATAACTAAACCCAAAATATACCTCAAAAATTATTTGTCACCACACTAATTGCTCTTAAATTGAAGTTATTGAAATATCTAAGCTGATTACAAACGAATTTAGTGATGGTTAATAACATGGTGTTTATTAATTAACTTAAACATTGAATCCTTTGAATTGCTTGTGTACAGTGTCCTTGTGCTTCTTACAGTATCTTTATAATTTATTACATCCTTTAGCATATTCACTGAATGCTCCAAAATCACATATCTTGACATGTTTTTCAAGTTGAGTGAGTTTTGAAACTGTGAACTTTCGAAACTGGCAACTCAGTGCTTTAAAGACATAAAAATATTGTCTCTATTAGAGTGAATAGTTAGTTATAGTTATCTAGAGCAAATTGATCACCCGTATATAGTTAAATAATCAACTCCAATGAAAGTATGATCGCACTGAAATCACGACCATAATAATCCTGGAATATTTTTCCACACAGCGGAGGAATGCGTCCAATAAGAAATTCCTCGAAGCACCAGGGAATTCGAAATATTTACCTAACTCGTACTATTTTTAAAATTGGCTTTTCAGTCTCGTTGATTTTGTGATAGATTAATTTGCCGATGTTAATTTTTCCCTTGAGCCAACATGAGTCAAGGCATAGACACGTTTTCCGGAAATTTGAAATACATTCATATTTACAGGGACTGAGAACAGTTTTCTGAAGACTACATCTGACCAACCGCCGATATTTTCTGCTTTTCAAACTTTAACATGTGTACTACTTTTCAAATTTTAACTCAATGGACATATTTAAAAACGTTCTTTTGCTAGATGCAATACTGTTTTCCAGTCGATTTCATCTGCATATAAGTTCATAGGAACTTAAATTGCAAAAGTATATAATAATAAAAAAGTATTATAGCAATAAAAAGTATCTGAATAAAACGAGGCAATTTTACATACAGCTTTGTTTTAATCGGGTTGTCGGTCACAGAAGATACTACATATTCTGTAGCACAAATTACAAGTTGCACCTTACTCAAGTGGGCAACCTGTGCCAGAGCTGTCCCACATACTGTGTCTTCCTCATTGTGCCTTATTAATCCTCTTTAAACTTCAGGACGTTTCCCAAGAGTTGTTTGCGGTTTAACAGGATTAAGTTGATCTTATAGAACGCGAAGCGGTAAAAGCAAAACTGCCGAAAACTCGGCTTCAAAAGGAAAAAGTTGAAAAGTTTTATTTGCCGGTAATTTGAAGGGAATCCAATTAAAATGTTCTAACTCGGGAAATTATCCCCAAGGAAAATTATTGTTATAAAAGTTTCGGTTCGGCTGCTCCAAAGTTTCAGAAAGTTGTGCACAACTTTCGGCATCGTCCGCCCACTTTGAGCGGTTCAAGGGGAGAAAACTGGGAAAAAGTTTTACATTTAGACGGCGGCGGGACAGCCGGGTTTAATTTAAATTATGATTGTCGCACGAATATGTTTGGGATTTTTTTTCTTCTAACCCTAGTTGCAGGTTGCCAGCTATCTTGTAGTTTTTATTCACTACACTGGTGAAGTTAGTAAGTACGCCATAAAAAATATTTAATATTAAAAGAAACTCTAATGAAGATTGATGTGTTTGATAAGTCGTTCGTACTTAGTCAAAGGCAACTCATCCACGAAAATGACATTGTTCCAAAACAAAAGCCTTGACAAGAGTCAAAGGAAAGAAAAAAACAAATAAACTGAGATTTAAAGATCGGCGCCGTCTCAGCGAAACTTAAAAGTTTTCGCTCCCAGGAAAATAAGAATCGGGAACAGCCAGGCCAGGCCATCTTCTCCCGGAAAGTTGGCGAATAAAGTTCCGACCGAGTATAAGAAAACTCGCAGTAAAACTTTGAGAAACTAAAGGCGAACTCCGCTTTTGCTCCCGTCCCGCCTAAGAACAAACTTCTTCCATAAAGTATGTAAACTTACACTTTTGTAACAATTTCAGCTTTCTCGCTTGTGAGGACCCGACCCGCTAAAACTTTTAAAATCTGCGAAAGTTTATTGCGTCATTACAGGGCGTATTGCCTCTTGAATAAGTGCAGGAGGCGATCAGAAATGACCCAACTGTCGCCATTTGCGGTTAATATTGGGTATGCATGAATCTGGACTTTTATAAATAGTTGAGCAAGTTTCCTGCCTTCTCACTAAATCGACATCCCGGACGCGCTAAAGTTTCCCGCGGGATTGTCGAGCCGAAATGGCCGCCCCTCCTTTTCTCTCAACTTAGTTTCGTCGTGCACACAACAACTGCAGTTAAACTAACTCCCGAACTTCCCAACCTACGACCATCATTATTGCACGAGATGTTTGCTTTTCGGCATTAAAGTTCAAAGTTTCAATGTGTCCGGGATATATGCTAAATGGCCGGGCGCGATCTGAACTTTGTACAAGTACAACTGCATATTGCAGTTTTTTCAGCGCTTAGACAGGGTGATCTGAAATCGTTTTTTTCTAATTTTAATTACTATCTACGACCAAAAATAGAACAAACACACTTTGTTTCCGACGTACACGGTACTAAGAAATATCCACCGTATTTTTTACTGAATTCGAGATTAAATGTTTTATTGAACAAAACTCCGTAATAAAGCAATAAGTGACTAAACAGGTTGCAAACCCAACAAGCAAAGTTACATACTTAGTTAAAAAAGAACATCAGTCCCAACGAAAAGCGCGTAATTTACATCTCTTTTTCACATTCATAACGTTTTGTTTTCCCAATTGATGAGATGTTTATTCTTAAAGCTTTGAATCCAACTTCTAGAACATCGGAATTTTGTTTTCCAATTTTAGTGCCAAAAATTGTGTACCATATTTAGTACCATTTATTTATAAAAGTCTCTTATCTTCATAGTTAAGCTGTTTTTTTTCTACTTTTCCAGTTAACCGATCGTGACGATATCTGCCAGGAATCATACCGACCATTGAAACGGTGTAGTTTAGCAAACTAATTAATTTGTTAAGCAACTTATTTTCAAATCATTTTGTATTTTTTTCACGAGTTTGTTTACGAAGTTTTACGTATTTCTTTGTAAAAGGCGGAAAATCATCCAAAAGTTTACCATAAGCGTAATATTTTAACTTATGCTATATAAGCTCGGTTCAGTTTAAGATGTTTGTTATAAACGGATTTATTAAGTCCGGTAAAAAATAGTATTATTTTATGGTGAAAAATTGGGCAATTTTAATTAAAGTCCTATAAATGGAAATTTATTTTTACTGGACCAAGTTCACTATATATCCATTGTATTTACCTCAAATTTGGAATAAATATATGTAACTTATTAAGGGTTTGCATGCTTAGTTATGCCAAAATTTGGCATAACTAATTTAATGGTGGCGACAATCTAATTGATGTAATGTTTTCTATGGTTTATGGTCACCTTTACCTGTCGATTTGGTGGATATTCACTGATAGTATTTTCTTAAATATTTGATTTATCTGTTAAATTTGGAAACTTTTGAGGTTTGCAGTGTTTCCGGATCTGTAATCGTTTAGTTGTTTGATGCGCTAATGAGAACAAATGCGTCAAAAGCATGTTATAATATAATTGTGTCTTTCATAACTCACGCACATAATAAGTAATGAAATTACGTCAAAAAATACGTCTTAATAAGTATCTTCGACTCCCCAATTGTACGCAAACCCTGACAAATTGTACTGTTTTTTCCACAAGTAATTTATACATAACTTTTTTAATATTGCTAATATTTGACATATTCCGCATTGTTTTGTACAGGCTGTTTTACAGCTGAATGCAGCTATAAATAAAACCTTGTTATATCAAATACTATACTATACTATGTGCATAATCCTCAAATGTTTCTTTATACTTAAAGGAATAGAGCAATCCCTCTTGAAATATACTGCCGCAGCTGTTATTAAATTAATCTCTTTAAATTTACCTTTGCTCCTTGTTCTTGCAAAATAATCAAACCAGAAGAATATATAACAACACAATGAAACTCTTTTAGTTTCAGAGTTCTACATGCCGTACCATGGAGTTCAACATCAACCTCGCAGTATAACTTGAGGAACTGCCTAGTGTCTGTTTAGCTATAGGTTGGTTGGTGTCAGGACGGGGCCCGACTGCTAGTCAGGGGCGAAAGACCGCACCGCGGTCCAAGTTTTAGTGCGAGTGTTCCATGTGCTCCGTTTAAGTTAATTTTGCCGGGGTACAAATCGGTGTTTTGTTAGTTGAATTCGTAAATGGACAAACGCAAAATGTTGCCAAAAAGGCCTAGATTCGAGCCGCGCGGACCCATCGCTAACGGGCCGTTGCAAACCCGTCCTCTCGTTGCACTTCTAGATGGCAGAGACTGTTCCATAGAAATGCCCATCCTGAAAGACGTGGCTACTGTCGCGTTCTGTGATGCACAAAGTACGAGTGAAATTCACGAAAAGGTAAGATATACGGGTCCTTTCCGAATCAGTAGACAATATCTCGGATTCGGATAAAATTGAAAGCAACTGAAAACAAAGTTCCTATCATTTTTTGTGCGTCCTCCTCCTCTCTAAAGAAGGCACATGAAACTCGACATTTCAAATATTTGGCGTAAGCAACTATGTATATAATTTTTTCATATGGTCAACTGTGGCTCATACAGGCTCAAAAATAATGTTTTATGTAAGTGGAGCCTTTAAGAAAAAAACATACTATTTGTCGATATTGATAAAGAATCCGTTTTCTGAGAAAAAATAATCTTTATTCAAGATGCTTATTTCCTTTTGAGGTTCTAAGCGCCTTCTAATAATATTAAGGTCCTAAGAAATGTTCCATAGCAATTATTTTAAAAGTTAATAAAAAGACATGTACAATTTTTTGCGTTGTATCAGATGCCAAGAGATTGTTCAGTTATTGCCAGATACTTTGTGAACCGTATTGTCACGTTTCTAATTTAAAAATGTAAATTTTGTGTTAACAGGTACTAAATGAGGCGGTGGGAGCGCTAATGTGGCACACAATAATTCTGACAAAAGAGGACCTGGAAAAGTTTAAAACTTTGCGAATAATCGTGCGTATCGGGAGTGGAGTTGACAATATCGATGTAAAAGCAGCAGGAGAACTAGGTATAGCTGTTTGTAACGTACCTGGATATGGAGTAGAAGAAGTGGCTGACACTACATTATGCTTGATTCTAAATTTGTACAGGCGGACCTATTGGCTTGCCAATATGGTCCGGGAAGGCAAGAAGTTTACCGGCCCGGAGCAAGTAAGTTCCAGCTTATGAGTGAACTTCTCCAAGTTAACTTTAATCGAAATTTTCAGGTGCGGGAAGCCGCTCAGGGATGCGCTAGGATACGTGGTGATACCTTAGGCATCGTTGGGTTAGGTCGTATTGGATCTGCAGTAGCTCTGCGAGCAAAAGCCTTTGGATTTAACGTGATCTTTTACGATCCATATTTGCCCGATGGAATAGAGAAGAGCTTGGGATTAACCCGAGTTTATACACTTCAAGATCTGCTGTTCCAATCCGATTGTGTGTCTTTGCATTGCACTCTAAATGAGCACAATCATCATCTGATCAATGAATTTACAATTAAACAGATGCGACCAGGTGCATTCTTGGTTAACACTGGTAAGTTTTAGTACTGGAAGTCAAATCAAACCAAAGTAATAATAGTGGTTGAGACGAAAACTACTCACAAAACATTTTGCGGAAGCTGCAAATAAAATTGATATTGCTTGTGTATTCTGAAAATTTACTATTTGAGTTTATCAGAATAGCTCCTAGGAATACTAACAGTCGTTTTGTAAAACAGTTAAAACACCATCTTTTTTCTGCAAAATGTGGAACACGAATAACTACCGGCTTAATCTATAAGGAAAAAACGAACAAGGATCTGCTGTTCCCTTTTATACAGGGTTATTCACGCTATACGGCACGGAAGTTTGCGGCTAAACCGTTTGATTTTTAAAAAGTATTATTTTATGAATTGTCCGACGCC